TGAAATATATCCAAATGTTCTGAAAATTTAAACGAAACCGAAACGAAAATTTAAACAAAACATTTTTTTTAGTTTCTTATTTTTTTCATAAAAGCACTTTTCTTGGTCGGTTTTTGCTTATTTATTAAAACAAGTTCTGAAAATTGTGAACTATGATATTTCATAAATTTTTCAAAAGTTCTATCCACTTTAAATATCAAACTTTTATAATTTGACGTGGGTGTCTTTGTTCTCTTGGCTACCTGAAACCTTGATGCGTGTCGAATTAGCCAAGTTTTTGTTACCATTTTGCTTGCTCCGACGATTTCGACTTAATTAAAAGAAGGCATTTGTTTTTGTACAGCATGAGAAGAAGTAGATATCGAGTTCAAAGCACTTTTATGTATGTACATATTCGAAGGGATGAATAATAATTAAATTAATGATGATGACTGATTTTACCGCCACAAGAAAACAACATGGTACTCTTTTATGTTCCTTATGTATGGCGCTGAAATCACTCATCATGAAACAGGGTTTAAACGCTAGACGTAGTTAGACGCTGGCGTAGTTTAAACGCTAGTGTGGACGCCCGTCCTTTGACGGGCAAAATAGGCCCGTCACCCCCAAGCAGAGAATAAAAACATTGGTGAAGTGAGCCTCCTTTTCACAGATAAGCGATGAATAGCTTCGCTAATACGGTCAACGTACGACCTCGACCATTACGTGCTTGACGGCCAACCCACAACCACCACCACCATCGCCAATGAGAAACTGTTTTTTTTCAGAATTTTCACCTTTATTGAGAACGAGCATGCAAGCCAGATTTGTATGAAAATCCTGGCCTTTTTAGAAGAACATGTTTTATGCACTTCAAAATTTATTAAAAATTATTTATTTTAAATATTTTATTTTTTACGAGAATTAGCTTGGTTTGTTAAAAATGGAACGATTTTCGAAATACTATCATATTTCGAATTAATATATGTACAACCTAATTGAGTAATATGTACAAAAAATCAATGAAGTGCAAAATTAATTTTATCTCAATTTTGGTTGAAACTAAGGATAAGCGAAGGATAAGGTGGCTGCAATTAAAAAGCAGTATCTTGACATTCATTTGTTGCAACGATGATGCTTCGACATGGGAAAAGTTAGCAATCCAATTAAACTCCGTTTCGTGAGTTCATCACATTGAGTACATTAGCCGAATTATTTTATTATAAAAATCATACGAAATTGAATAATTTAAACGCCAAAATAAAAATAACTGGTAGCAAATAATAAAATAATTCGACTCATTCGGCTAATATACTCAATGTGATGAACTCACGAATTGTGAAACGGAGTTTAGCCTAATAAATAGCACAAAATCTACAATGTATAATGAGGCGGTTCACGTAGTCGTTGGTAAATTTGTAAAATACAACGTGTACAAAATAAAAAGACGCTCTTGATCTTGATAAAGCTACACAATTTATTAAGCTAATTTTCCTTATCGGAATTTCTAAACGTTTATAAGTTTACGGATTTTACAAAGTTACCAAGAACTGCGTGAATTGCCTCAGTGTTTTGGTCGGCACGGAAAAATTATTTTAGCCCGATTTTGGAGCACAATTTGGTTGAAACTATGGGAAAAAGGTGGCTGCATGAAAAAAGCAACATCTTGGCGTTCCTTTGTTGCAACGATGACGCCTCAAAATGCGAAAAGTTAACAATCCAGCCCCCAAGATGGCAAAGGAGTTGCTTCGTAAAAATATTTTCTAATTTTTGCAACGAGAAACCGTTGTCCAAAAAGGGCATTGTTGCACGAATTTTTGCATGGCGAAAAGTTATTAAAGAAGGATTTTACACAAAAATAGATACAATTTAAAATAGAAATTTATGTTTTTTTTCATCCACATGTGTAAGGTTTTAATTAGGTGATACTTAATTTATGTACATTTTTTTTCATAAATGTCAAAATCAAGAATCAAAAGGGACGATCAATTTTTTTAAATATTTTTTAAATCGTTTCCATGCCACGTGTTTCCAAGATGATTATACTGACAATGGAGGTCTCCCAGCGTATGCTCTCCGATTTTGAACAAATTAGTGTCAATCGATCACAAATTTATTTAGTATGAAATTTGCAAAAGATAAAATTTGCTATGCTCAGGTTAATTTGGCAGAGATATTTGCATCCGAATAGGAAATAATACACATTAAATTTGGAAAATTTGCCAACTTTAGAGCGCTTTTTCTCCTCTTTGGGTGCAAATGTCTTCGCCAAACGTGACCATTGGGAGATTGTTTCTTTCGCAAATTTCATACTAATTAAATTTGTGATCGATTGACACTAATTTGCTCAAAATCTGAGCGCATACGCTGGGAGACCTCCGTTGTCAGTTTGCCTCTGTTTAGTCATCTTGAAATGAATATTTAGTTGGATTGGATTACATGAAAGATTTTGTTGTTGAATTTATTAGCCTCGTAAAAATGATATTTTACGTCATAAGTATGAGTTGGGCGTGGTGGTGGTGGTGCTGCTCTCTTTGTTCTCCATTGTCTAAGGTGTCACATTTTATTTTATTTTCCATATCTTTCATATTTACAAGAATGGAAACATTTTAGTCACGCTTGTTTAAAAATGATTCAGTTTTTACCGTATTTTTTACGTTATTATTTAAATTTTTGATGATCTGATATATTTGAACAGTAAAGAGCCCACTGGAGGTTGTAAAGGTTTGTAAAAGGGTTTCGTTTTTCCGAGTGAAACATATTTTCCAGGACAAGTGGGAATAATGGGAAAAAATTAGGTGATAACGGAGGCTCACGTAGGATGTTAGAAAGGGTATGGTCAAAAGACGATCTTCAGCGTATTTTAATGGTGGTAAAAAATGGAAAAGAATAATTTTTCCGATTTTTTCTACATATTTTGGATAAGTGTTAAAAAGTGAGAAAAGTACAATTTCCCATTTTCTTCGTTTCCTACTCATTCGAATTATTGTCAAACGTGGAAACCCAGATTTTTCCCGTATTTGCCATTTCTCATCAACATAATTGGAATGGATTGCAAAAACTGTGAAACAACGAAATTTTGCTGATATTTTGAACGGATGGTAAAAATTGAAAAATTAATAATTTCTCTGAAGTTCATTTCCCATCTTAATATTTTAGCTTGGTAAAATACATATTTTCCCACTGCACATACACATATTTGTTGATTGATTTTACCAATCGTAACCCTGTGCTTGCTTACCTTTAAATAAAATTGTATCATGGCAAATATTTCTTTTTTTAGCAACCTGTCCCAACCTGTCCACTCTAATGCAAATCCCACGTACACGAATTAACGTGGTCCTCCTTTCCTATCTCAAAGTTTTATTTGGTGCATGTTTTAATTGGAAAAATAAAATGAACTGCAAGGTTGCCCTGTGACGACGTCACGGTGTATAAAAATCCAATTCGAAGAAAATTATGGTTCAGATTTATGTATAACGGACAAAGAAAATTATACGAATTATTTAAGCACAATTTTTGTCATAATTTATTTACGAGATTGTATTTCGTGACATGTGAGGAATTGCGGTCTCATCGTGTTATCTCATCTTTTCAGTGGGGCCGGTGCATTGGTTTTGTCACGTTTTGGGGGAAGCGTTGTCTTAAGGTGCTGTAGGATGAGGGGTTAAGGTGCCATTGAAAGTTTGAGTTTTTTACCTTATCTCACTACTATTGACATGCAAAGTTCTAAAATTTTGAATTTTGTGAAATAAATAAAATTCATAGGCTTTAAAGGTAAAGTTAATTTTTGGATTTACAACATAAATTGAAAAAATAGTTTTATTTATTTACATAATTTTTCACACGTATTTACAGGTGAACTTCAAAAATCTAATTTTCCGATAAATAAAATTTATGCGGCCTAAAATGTACAGGTAATTTTTGATATTATAAAATTTTTCAAAAAATTTGCCCCATATGTTTATTCTAAAAAATTCAAATAAATAGATTTTTTTCAAGTGATTAATTTTGTATTGCAAAACTTAGCCTGGAATTTACGCCGCGTCTGACAATTCATGAAATTGATGCTCGAGTTTTAGAAATTTGAAGATCAACTAGTAATTTTGTAAAAATTAAAAATGTGCTTTTTCCGACATATAACTAATGCATGTTCCCATTCTAAGAAGATGCCTCCAATCTAAACGCATTCGTCGTCTTCTTCCTCTCACACCACCAAACCAAAACTGATTAAAATATTTAACAATCAAGGCTGTCTCTGAGTACAATTTTGGCAATTTTTTCGCCAAAGGTCGTCCCTACTTAAATTGGTTATATATTCATGGAATTAATGACAGCGTGGAGGTGGAGAGGAGGTTAATTTGACTGACTTGATTTCCGCTGCGTGGATGGATGGATGCAATTTTTGTTACCTTGGAAACCACGTAAAAATAGCGCTGTTGTTTTTCTTGGGGTAAATTATATCTTTAAGAAGTCGTTATTCATCTTGATCGATAAATTGTGTACGCAACTATACAAAATTTATGGCTAACAAGGAGCGATGGAAAGGTAAACGGCAATCATGAATCATGGATGTTTAATTAATTATAGTGGTCGTGAAAGGTCGACAAATAATAATTAGTGCAGTAAAGTTATGTACATATTTTGGTGGGTATGCATAAATGTGAAGGTAGATTTGATCTTGAATTCGAAAAATTGACTAAAAATTGAAATAATTAATAAGTATTATTTCGGCATGATTTATGGAAGATTAAATAAAATTTGTAGTTTTAAGCAGAATTTTAATATTTTTAAAATGTACTTAAAAACAAGTAAATTTGAATTATTTAATGAAACTAAATAAGCTTTGATTTAAGTAACTGATGTAAATTTGATTTTCGTTATCTTAAAAAATGGACATGTACTCTTGTTCAATTTAATGTAATGCTAAATTCACGCAAAAATGAGATTGACCACATATTTATAGAATTAAACGTATGAAAATTGTTAACGGGACAAATTTGAAGAGCAATTTACAGATGTGTTTTTCACAATTTTATTTTTTATTCCTTTTATTTCAGAGTAAGATCAAATTTTGTAAAGTGTAGTTTTGCGAAGTGAATGTAGCTAAGAATAAATGCAAATTAAACACGAATATTTGGTTAGGGACGATGCCCACGTTGCAAAAATGGTGAAAGAATTCAAAGAATGTGGAAGACAAGAAAAATTGGCCATATTTAGCAGTGTGCCAAGTAATTAACGGAGAGCTGATATGAATTTATTTATTTTCAACTTTTTCACTTGATGACGACCGTTGGTCAAATTTTGTGGGTGTGATCCCTAACTCGCATAGATAACAAAAATTTCAAAATATTTTTTATATATTTCTGGGTTTTCAGACAAGTAAATATGTCCGCTATTTTTTTTAATTGTCCAAAAATATGTATATACTTATGTTTTAAATATTTAAATACGATGAATTTTTTTGCTAAAAGAAATTCAACCATAAAAAAATCCAGAGTAGTCAATTCAAAAGTAAAACTATGCGAAAATATGTTTTTCAACATATTTTGCAAATGTTTTTTGCAAGGCCTATTGACTCTGTAATTGACGCGATTTCAGAATTTAAACAACTTTTATCATTACAAGAAAAGTTGCATATTTTGCATCCTTTGTTTTCTTGTCGTGGGGTGAGGAGGATGACCAAATAGGCAATTCGTCGTCGTCACCTTGCAGGGTTGGGTACAGTCACATTTATGGCGAAACTTCTCCTTACTTCTTGACCCAGAGATTTCCTCTGCCACTTTGTAACCTTTAAATTAAAATGATTTTTGAATTGAGCAAAACATTTGTAAAAAAAACAATTTGTAAATGATAAAAATTTCATTTTTCATTTTGATTATGCAACCGAGAAGAATTTCATTTCTTATTTTTAGCATAAAATTGTCCATAAATTGTGTAATGCGGTCCGATTGCGGCATACTTATGTATAATCTTAAAATACAAAAGAAAAGTAAAAATAGTCTTCGGACTATATTTTATTTTCTGTACAAAATTTTCTAGTAAAATGTGCAAATTTTAAGTATTTTTTAAGTAAAATTCTTGCCAATAATTGATCAGAAAAAGCAATCCTTGGTAATTTTGTAAAATCCGTGAAATCCGTACACTTATCAGGTTTTACAAATTTGAAACATATTTCTGAGCAAAATTAGCTCTAAAATTCATGTAAACTTCGTCCAACCAATGGGGTATTTGTGTTTTGTAAAAGTTCTTTTATAAAACATTAATGTTTAAAACAATAAAAACATTAACATTAACATTAACAAACATTAGCATTAAAACAAGTTACCAATTACAAGTTACCAATTACTCCTTGACAGTCCTTGAATTGCTGCAATACGTTTAGAGTAAATTCGACACCAAAATTTTATTAATTACCAAATACACACTTAAAATTTGTGGACTTCAAAATTGTAAAATTACAAAAATGTTTACCTACACCTCGACTTTCTTAATTTAAGGAACATAAAAATATTTCGAAATTTTGTTTAATCTTTTTTTTTTACTAAACAAACGCACATTTATCATAAATTTTTAATATTTGTCAGATTAGTTTAACAAAAATTACACCATTTTTTACAATAAACACATATTTATCACAAATTTATACCATTGTTTAGATTACTTTAACAAAAATTATACCAATGCTAAATTTTATTTACGTAAACATACTGCGCCTTAATTTACATATTTAATTTAGCACACCTCTAAAGAGAGAGAATAAGTGTTTCAAAATTTTATAGAATTTTTTATGTACGTAGATATTTACAACAAGCAAATATTTGTCATGGCAACAGAGCGTGGATATTAATTTAATTTCGACCTTTTCATTTGATTCCGACCGATGGTCAAATTTTGTGCGAGTGTAGATCACTAAAATTTCAATTTTTTTCACATATTGCCACATATTTCTGGGTTTCCAGACATATCCATATTTCCGATATTATTTCAAAAATACGGAAATTACAAATTTACATAATTAAAAAATACGTACATATTTCTGTAAATATTTCAACGATGTGAAACGAAATCTTTTTCCTTAAAAATTAATCACAAAAAATCCAAAGTATTAAATTCAAAAGTAAAAAAATTTACACAAATGCTTATTTTTACAATTTTTTTGTAAAGATTTTAGCGTTCTTTTAGAAAATATTAACTCCATATTTCCCCAATTTTTCGTAGATACATAGCCCCACTGTGGTCATGAATTTAAACAATTTTTCGAAATATTTTAACCAATTGAATCCTACCACAAAAAAATAAAGATTTAATTCCATTACGATGGCGGTCAGACGTCAGACCTCCTCTAATTCTGCATATTTATCTAATTAGCAATGAAAAAAGAGAACAACGAGAGATGAACGAGGTGCAATATTTTGATCTATTCGAAGGTGCAACAAGTCAACTTTTTGTATTTACTAATTGCACTTCACCCACAGGGTTTCGTTTCTGAGCCCGTTTAACAATATTCTAAAAACAATGTGTTTTGCCACATTCCTTGCACTCCAAAGCAAGCCACGCAAGAAATGCGAGGTGCAAGAAAGTGCGAAAAATTTGCGCTGTTATGCCACGCGCCGTATGGAGTATGCGCCACTGGGCTAGTTTCTTGCGCCTTGCAGGTCAAAATAGTTGCAAAAAAAATAATTTCTTGCAGTTATTTTTTCAAGTAGTTACTTGTACCCGAAACCCTGTGCATCGAGCATTATTTATTTGCACAGAGTGACAAGCATACAAATACACATCCACATTTTGTGAAGCTTTTATGTATCTCCACTTTTCAAGATTGAGAAGGTGGACGACTTTTCATTTCTCAACTTATTTGGCCACAATAATTTTATGTGAGAGAGAGATTGGCAGACTTTTTATGCAATTGATTATCATATTTTACATATTTATTCACTTTGGGTAAACTCACGGTAAAAAAAATTTGCAATATTTTAAAAAGATGGGTCCAATTTTTTACAGTTTAAAAAATGATAACCTAGTTTTCAAGGGAATTTGCGTAAAGAAATGAGTTACATATGTGATTTAAATATGTAAAAACTTATATCTATATCAAAATCTGTATCCTTTCAGTTTTTTTAATTCTTTGATTACAAAAAAGGTTCCATTTTTTTAGAATTTTTGTATCTAAATTAAAATCCATAAGTAATTCAAATTTGCGACATGAATCAATTTATTTACGTAAATAATAATTATAATCTTTGTATTTACTAATTTAGTAAATTATTTGGTTCGAAATGAAGATTCCAATTTTTTTAAATTTAGTTGTCTTAAAAAAATTACAACCTTAATCTTCAAGAGGGTCCACAAAAAGTAGGTATACGAAATGCGATGCAAATATTGAGGTAACTTTGTAAAACCCGTAGTAAAATTTGCAAAATGATTGTAAAACTTTTACCACATACAACTTTACAAAACTTTGTTAGCTAATTTTCCTTCGAAATAATTTTCCTGTGTGATTTGTCTCAATTATTAAAATCCCAAGTTTTTCATACGATTTTTCTTCAGAAAAATGTAACAAAATTTTGACGTGAGTTGCACCAAATTCAAGTCATCATCACCGCCACGATAAAAACGAACGTGAACTTGGCCTAAGGTTGATAGTGGTCTGGTCGTCTAACAATTCTCCCCATCCACTACACAGTTTGGTCATGAATAGCGTCCAACTTACAGTGCAATGTATGAACGTATGTTAGTTAATTGTGCCCTGTTAAATAGATTAGTGTGGCAGAATGATGATCTGAACAGAACGTGGTAATCCCCACACAAAATTTGCCCTCTTACTGCCATAAATGAGCTCCTTGTCCGTCTTTCGTCACTTGACGACGGTGTCTGTTTTGTCATCAGGGTTATAACATCCACCCAAAAATTGTAAGCCGTACTGTCAACGGAAGTCAGAATTGGATAGGTTTCATTGCCAGAGGGCGGATATGTAGTTATGAAGAAAGAAATTTTTTTGCAAAATTTGTAGTTTTGAAATGGATTTTTTTCAGGACTTATTTCTTTGAGAAACGAAAATTCGTCTCGCATCGTTGAAATATCTTTTTAATATTTATAGAAACAACGTCAAAATGTGTGCGAAAAAACACAAAAATAAGAATTTTCGAAAAATTTGTATTTCTGAATTTATTGTGGTCAAATTTCTTTGATGAGGAAAATTTCGCCTCACATCGATATTTACAAAATAAGTATGTATTTTTGAAAAAGTATGTAAACGATTTCCGTATTTTTGAAATAATAACGGAAATATTTACACTTCTGAAAATCTGGAAATATGTGATAACATGTAAAAAATATTTTGAAATTTTTGTGTTCTATGCGAGTTAGGGAACACACCGACAAAGTCTGACCGTCAGTCGTCATCAAATGAAAAAGTTGAGCATAAATCCATATCCGCCCTCTGCTCATAATTACATAAGAAGGATCAAAACAATACTGTCGTGACGAGTGATACCATATTCACCTCTCTGTTATCATCCCCGTAAAAGAAGAAGAATGTGATACGTGACACGACAGAAAATGAAATATGTGGGCGTTGGTCTTCCGGTGGGCGCTTGGTAGGTCAGAGGTGAGTGCAGTCGGGACGGACTGGGATGAATGTTCCGGAAGGACACCACACAGTTTGGAGGCGTAAGGCCGTATGTGCGATCGGCAGCCCCACTTATGATGTGAGATACACGAAAAGTTAATGTTTTATCGGAATTTAGCACTCGAAATAAGTCACCGAAATGTAATACGCGTCCCCCGAGAGTCATAGTTCTTACAGAGCAACTGGTTATCAATTTATTTTACGTAGCCGGAGGATTTTACATTTATATATCAAGAAACCAAAATATATTTAGAGGTTGTGGAAACTGTAGAATTATGGGGGACTTTAGGATGGCAGTGGTGGAGAGAGGAGATACGTCTTGGTAGACACCGGAACTCCGTCTGCCTGGATTCTTGGACAGACGACAGTATATGTCCTTGTTGAAGGAGACGATGTCCTTCAGCCGATGTATGGATAATTTGGAGTGACTGGCCGGTCGAGATATCAATGTATGAATATGGAGACGAGGAAGAGATAGGAGGGGAGGATGCATATGATATGCATAATTCCCTCAAATAATAGAGTAAAATAAATCCCGTGCGGGAAGGATACGACTGAAATGCATCCCTGAAAATCAAGGAAAATCGTGTCCCTTAAGAAGACTGTCATTTTATCATGCACTTAAATGCATCAAAAGGATAGAATTGTACTTGTGCAAAACCTTTATCAAAAACCTAATCAATCAATCAATCAATTGTCAAAATCCTGATTTTACCGGCCGAAAATTAGTCCATTTTTTAAGAATCAAGTTCTGCTGCAGACGAGACTATAATTCTGGCGAAATTTTCTGTCTACATAAATCTGCATGCTATTTTTTGCGAGCTGTTTTATGCCAAAATTTTCTGGAGGATTCTGCACGTGCAGAAAAATAGACCAATTTTTCCCACTGGTTGATTTTCATCCCGGTTAAGATGTGACACGGATGGCATCCATTATGCACTGGCTCGGCCTCCTCCTTTATTTAAGGTCTCATTACCCAAAGTTAGCAATTTTATGTATGAAATGAAATGAAATGAACTAACTGGTTGGTTTGTATTAAGTCCTTCTGGTGGTTGTGGTGGTGGTGGTGGTGGGTCTGTCGTGGTCGAAAGGTGACTGAACCAGCACTAAACAACACGGTATTTAGGCAAGAATGACACCGTCGTCGTACATAATAGTGGGACGACATTATTTTACGCTCCCGTTATTTTCCACTCTTCTTCCTATGTATCTAATCATTAATTGTGGGTGATGATCATTACTGGCGACTGACTGGTAATGACTTTTTTTGCATATTCCACGAAGAGTCAGGTTTGCAAAAATGTATTATTTTCAGTAATGATCAATAAGCAGGAGGGTTTTCATACCACGTGGTGGGGCGGTTTTTGTGCGACTAATTTCACAGTTTTCGAGGAATTAAATAGATATTGGGAGGCAATACCTTGATAACTTTGTTAAATGTGTAAATTTTGTAGAATAATTTTGCAAACTTGTACAAAATAAAAAGACGCCGCCCTTGATCTGAGCAAGTTTGCAAAAATTTGTAAGCTGATTTTCCTTCGAAATATATAAAAAAAATTTTGGAAAAGTTTATAAGCTTACAGAATGTACGCATTTTACCAAGTTATCAAGGACTGCGTGAATTGCTTTATTGCTATTTAAAATCCTGCAAATTCTCATCTTCTATCTTGACTTGTACATAATTTGCAATTTATTCGCCATTTTTTGGAGAAAAGGAGTTCATTTCGTCTCATCCGGCGAGTTGTTATATAATTCCTGGGAAATAGAGACAAGCTCAACTGTGTTTAAACTGTGCGGAGAAGATGTGACTCACTTTGACCTCTGGGCACGATGATCCCGAAAGGGATCACATCCCACCCTCAAGGCCTCCAAATTGACCAAGAAAGAAGAAGCACCATCATCATCTCCTTATCGTTGGCATTGCATTGTTGTAGGTAGAGAATTAATAAAAAAGTGGTGACTGTGGTTCACTAGTGGCGGTTTTGGTGGTGGTGGTTTGGTATTTGTGACCAAGGTGCCTTATAAATTTGGAAGGGAAGAAATGAATAGCACTGTGATTACGTCCTGTTCATTATTTTATTATTCTCTCCTCCATCCATTCGGGAGAGAGAGGTAGAGAATATGCTTAAATTACGGGGGAAGAGTTAGTCACATTTTTTTGTGCAGATTTTTCGGGTAAAATTAGTCCATTTTTTGACAGAAGAAACGTTCAAAACTAGGCAGAAAATGTTTACACAATTCGCCCAAAAAAAACCCTCTGGAGAAAAGCTTAGGCTGAAAAATTGTGCAAAATTCTGAAAGTCACGAGTACCAAACGTGTGTAGAAAAATGTAGCAATTTTTTCAGAATCTTGCAGACAAAATTTGTAAACAATTCACCCCTCATAAAAATACCTACGCACATTTATTTTCACACTGTACAAAAGTTTAGGCAGAAAAATGTGCTGCTTTCCAAAACTGGGCATCCTTTAGTAGAAAATCTCTACATAATTCATTTAAAAGAAAATTGAGCGTTTGTACACTGGAGAAAAGTTTAGGCAGAAAAATTGTCCAGAATTTCATCTGTAAGAATTTATTTTGTTAAAAATTGTGCCAAATTTTTAAACCTGGTAGCCCTTGATAGAGTTTTTTTACGTTACGTAATTAGTGAATGTGGTGGTCGGTACAGTGGCCGGAAAAAATGGGATGCAAAATCATTACGGCGGAAGGAAGAAGAAGGAAGGAAGGATGCAATGTGAGTAACGGTGTTGGACTAAAATTGGCTATTTTTTGCAGAAAAAAGTCCTCGTTTGATGAAGTTGATTGAATAGGTTTTGTGGAAATCAAGGATATGTGACTAATTTATGCAGCCAGTTACAGCTTCAAAAGCACAATGGACAAGAGAGAACCGTTGCTTGGGGAAAAATTTGCGTATTTTTGGGTAAAAAAGTCATACCTGGCTTGACAACCGGGTGATCCTTGTAAGATTCGGAATTTTTCACTTGTCATGAAAACGTTACAAAATGTTGATAAAAATAGGGACAAAATATTTTAGAAATCTTGATAATTTCTACTCCGTGAATTTCTGGACAAATTTCCTTGTTTATTTTCATTTGTATGGAAAATTTCGCTAAATTTTTACACAACAGAAATTTTGAATATCCTCAAAATCGAAATGTTAAAAACGAGTCGAGCTTAATTGTGTCCAGATTTTTATTTTTATTGTTTTATTATTTTACTCCATCTACATTTGAGATACGTCATGTTTTTTAATCGATGCAGGAATTTTAAAAAAATTCTTAAACATCCATGAAATAAGATTTGGGCTCATTTTGCCCCTAATGTTAAAAGTGCGAGGACTTGCTCCCATCATTAAAAAGAGGTCACCCCCCTTCCCGCACGCCTCCGACTTTTATCTTGATCTTCGTAACAAGAATTCCTGTCGTGTAATGTTGTCCTTGGTCACCAAGTAATAATTCTTCGTATACAAATATGTACGCACACAAGTTACACACATACGTGGATCATGCAGAGAGAAGACAGGTGCATCTGTGTCACTATCTGTAATACTCGTTAATATTTGTCATCTACCTATAAAGACTTTGTTATTATTAGAGTGACACTTCCCTCATGGGCTGATGCACCGAAAAAATTCGCATAAGCACACATTGTGTGCAAATTTGTACACAATTCTTGACGATCATTGTTGTGGGTATGGTGTAGATATGAAAATTTCGGAGTGCTGTATGAAAATTTATGGAGTTTCATGAAGAATAAATTCATGGGAAGGGTTGAGACCAAATATCGTACTTTATTGCAAATCATCAACTTTTTTAATTTGAAATGTTGGAAAACCGTGTGGAAAAATGCTGCAAAAAAATATTGGCAAATTAAACCCCCCAGAGTTATAAATGTATACATTAAGACGCTTAATATTCACTATAATGATCTACACAAGATTTAAAGGCATCTGAAAACCTGGCAAAAATGACTAATACAAAATGTATAAAATTTTGGAATTTATACTAAATTATGTAAAATTCGGAAAATATAAAATTTTTTAACTTTTTTAATTAATTAAAAATCTACTTGCCTTTAGTGGTCTAAATTTTTGTTTACTATGGCAATAAACGAATTCAAATAAATCTGTAATCTGCAAATTTGCAAATCTGCAATTCCGGTTACATATTTACAAGGATATAAAAATAAATGCTACGAAATTATGGCAAGAAGTCGCCATCTGAGGCTGAAAAGCAGAGAAATCTGAGTCCTGGCGATGTAAAACTGTCACATTTTAACATTTAACATTTTAGCATTTTAATGCAATTTTAAATGTCATTATCAAATAAAACTGCTGCTGTCGTAATTCGCTACATAATGTGAGACCTAATTTTTAAAATGATTGAATACAATTGTGCCCAAACTTGATAAAGAAGAAGAAAAAAGTTAGTCAAATTCAAATCAAGTCATGAGAAGGATGTCTCTCTCTCTCTCTCGTGGTCAACATTAATACCTTTTCGGAGGGCCATGCATTATGCATTATGCATGATGCTTTTTTCCCATTCTGTGAGAAGGTTGCATTTTCTTCGTCAATCTCATCGTTTAGGTTTTGCGGATATGCATTTAGTTTCAGCTTTTTTATTTTGTGATGACCGACGGTCAAATTTTTTCCGTGTGTTGCCTAACTCTCATAGATCACACAAATTTCAGAATATTGTCGCATATTTCTAGGTTTTCATTGTAAATTTTTCCACTGTTGTTTCAAAAATATGAAAATTTTTTACATACTTTGTCAAACATGCTTATACATTTTGAAAATATTTAAAAACGATGAGACGAATTTTTTTTAATTGGACCCCAAAAAATCAAGAGACCAAAATTCAAAAGTAGGACCTTTCAGAAAATTTTGATTTTTATATTTGTTTTATTATTTTTCCTAAATATTTTGGCATTTTTCACATTTAATATTAAATACAAATTCCAGAAATTTTTTTCACAAACACATATCTGAAAATCGAGAAGCCAAAAGTTTACACATTTTCTGCAGAATCTCACTCTGCTGATGCTCTTCTTACTGCCTAAACTCTTCTGCAAAGTATACGATATTTATCGTAATAATAAAATTTTTTTATAAAACATGGAAGGAATTTTATTCTATATGTTCCTGTAAAATTACTTACGCGACACCCTTTATGCCCGACCTATCACACCAGCCTATGCATTTCTTGGCTCTTTCGTATTACCAATTTGCATGGAAATCCAATTACAAAAGTCGGTTAGTGTACAAATTCAGGTTTGTTTGTGGTATGTTTTTCCCCACTCTTCGCCTCCTTAACTTTTTGGCTGGCATGAATATTATCTAACTCTCTGTATTCTCGAGGTCCGCATTGTTTGGAAGGTTGCCACGAAAAGAGACGTGAAAGACTTTATAATAAAATTGAGAATCTGAAATCAAACCCATGCCGTGAAATTATTCACACCTGATCATTCACATTCACAACATCTGTACTTCGGTGGGTCCCGTTACGATTTCCTTCTTCTTCTCCCTGCTGCTGCTCCCACTTCTGGTTAAATAATAATAATAATAATAATGATATGCAAATCTATACCTGTCTCGTCGTGTCGGTATTTATTTATTTAATTCGATTTCGTGGCGTGGTGGTGTTGATAAAAGGAAATCATGGGAAATTTATGGGGGAGGAAGGTCTTAATAATAATTTGACATGTTTCCGGTAACTTGGATAAGGTGTGGAATTGGGACGTTTAAATTTGTCATGCATAGTTGGACAACATGTGACGATGTGTTTATTTTCATGACCACACAATTCGCAAAGTATATTTGTAAGAGTAAAATTATGCCGATTTTTTTAGGGAATAAATTATTTGCAAAAAAGTAATGATTTCCGGTAACTTTGAAATTTTTGTCCAAGTGTTTTGGTATGTATGTGATGCGAAATTTGGACTTTTAAGAAGTTGGATGACGACGTATGACGTGAGCTATTTTCTGCACGGCTCGTCTTCTTACGTGATCCGTTGGTAATTTGGTATGTTGTCACTACTCGGTATTTATTGTTATCTTTTTCACGGTACACATGTCGGAGATGGAGAAAAATAGTGATGGTAATCCGGTCGATCTGAGGATCTGTACCGAGACTTATTTTTCGCTCGTCTTGACCGGCATAAACTATTGTTAAGCATTCAAATAAATAATATGATGTTACAAAAGTGGAATCCCACTGTGTCGAATTCTGCAGTAATTGACATAAGCTGGATGCAAATTGAATTTAGCACATTTTTTGCATATTGTTGCAGATAATTTCTATCCGTTTTATTTTGCAAAACGGTATGTGCATAATTTTGCGCAAATCTAATAGTTTTCTGCACAAATAGTTTTGCATAAAGTTTTTGAGCCGATCCGATCGGATCATCAAATCGGATCGGATCAGATCCACGTAAAAAATCCGGTTCGGTCCGTCGGATCGGATTTACTACCAACACGAACTAATAAGTGGTCAATGGGTGTAGATAAAAATGTAGTGACGCATGTTCCGACATGGATGGGACACTTAAAGAATGGGACGAATCAGTGGACGAACAATGCAATAAATTAAAATTGAGGAGTGACTCGTCACTTTTGTCATGACTGTAACTGTACATCGCACATATCCGACACTACACCATCGGGTGTGAATTGCAAAATAAAGTCATTGTGGATTTAGGATTCGGTTGTAGAAAATTTTGCAAACTGGAGGAAAAATTGCGATTTTTAATTGTAGTGGATTTACTAGTTTTTTAGCCAGACGCTGAACAGTTTGTGGGGACAGATTTTGCAAAAATATGGGCATGGAGTTTCGCATAGTGAATAAATTGACCAATTAATGATCTACACTAGAGGGCAAAACTTTTTATTATAATTTTGCATAAATATGTATGTAAAAATCGCGATGTTGCGATTTTTAAGTCGTATTATTGGCAGCAAATTTTTAACTTTTTTTGTCTTTGGATACAATAACGAACAAATTTAAGCCGAGTTTGCCAAAATTCACACTGGAGGGCAAATTGTTTTTATATTTAATTTTGCATAAATATGTAAAGGGGAAAAGTCCGCTTTTTGCGATTTCTAAGTCGCATTATTTTTGGCAGAAAATGTTTACTAAAAAACCCGAGGCGAAATTTGTGCTATACTTTTTTATGTTTGTGGATGAAATAATGAGCAGATTTAAGCCAAAAGTTTGCTAAAATTTATGTTCTTTCCGCCGAGGGGTAAATATGCGAAAGAAAGAAAGCGACCACCAGGGTCAGGATCACACCAAAAACCAGAAAGGACACCAACACACATACACACGCCTTCTTTGCAAATGTCCGTGCAGAAAGGATGCCATCGAGTTGAAAGAGGTTTTCGAATGTTGAATGTTTTTGGATTTTGAATGTGTCCTTTTGCCAAAAATATTTGCACATAAATTCGCATTCGTATGACTAAAAATTGTTGTTCTTAGATACAAAAATTGTCGTATTTTCAAAATCTGTCAAAAAATATATCAAATTTTATTTTAACAGCTTTATTTTCCAGCTTGAAAATTTCTATCATTTTTTGTGCATAAATTCGCACGTCTGTACAAAGGAGAAAAAATAAAATTTCAGAAATTTTTAAAATCCAGGCAAAAATACATCCAATTTTACTTCCATAGCTCTATTTTCCAGTCTGACAATTTCTATCGATTGTTTACACATGAATTCGCACGTCTTTATTCGCAAGATAAAAAATTGCCTGCCTCAGAAATTTTCAAAATCCATCTCATTTTATTTACATACATTTTATTATGCATCTTACCTTGAAAATTTCTACCAGCCTTTCAAAACACACATTAATTACACGCAGCTGCATACGCATTTACACATGACAAAAAATTGTCTCATGTCACAAACCATGCAAAAAACTCCTGCCATTTTATTTGCACAGTGCCACGAGAAAAAGTGGGAGGCCGTAGAATCTCCTTTATTGCGGATTATTACAACTGGGATGGTGATCAGAGTTTAAAAGTTTTATGCAAGCAAGGAGGAAGTGGGTCAACGGGTCATTGCTAACAAGTTATTGTCCCAGCTACCAGTACAGCTCCTTAATAATGCCCAAGACGGACGGACGGATGGACGGACGGACGGATGGACGGACGGGCGAAAAACTGGTCGTAATAGTAAAACCCTCACCACTCATTATGAGACCTCAGGATCACAAAGTATGCGATCTTTCCACATCCACAATGGTCAAATAGTGGTTACACACACACTACCAACATGACGTGACATCAAGCAGCAGCAGAAATACGATATCTTCTTGACCACTTAGCCTGTCCTGCACTCTTAATAATAATATGAGAAGAATTAACCAATGGGAATTTTAAAGGGGTTGAATGTTCCCGAAATGTTGTACTAATTTGAATTAGTAGGAAAATCAATTAGCCTAAAAAATGGCACATTTTTCTGTACAATTCTTCCCAATTTTTCTGCAGTGTATATAAATATTTTTCTGAGGAGTGAATTATGCCGAAATTTTATGCCAAATTTTATGCCGAAATTTGCGCATTTTTCGGCTGATCAATCTTCATAATTAGAAATTTGCCCAAAATTCATCACCATTTCGTAAAAAAGACTACTTATATCTATTACCAAATTGTGGTAATACTTGTATATTTCTTCCCGAATTATTTAGCGTGTCCTTCTTCTCCTTTCCTGCCCCTGCAACTTTACCACCTTTACCAACTTTCGAAACAAGTAATAAGAAGAAAGAAATAAAAAAGTGGTCAGTTTTGCCGTCAAATTTATCACGCAGAAATCTCAACCTTGTCCTCTACGATCCGTGTGGTGTGGTCGTTTCGTTTTAGAAATGGAATAAATAAAACGCAATAAAATCTGCGATTGACGAGAAGAGAGAGAGAGAAAGATGTATTTGTATGTAGGCCCAATTCTAATTGGATACGTACATACATTTCATAGACATAAATTACGTGCTGAAAGTAAACACTAATAAGTGACCCGTCCTGATCCTCGTCCCTTCTTTCTTGCTAAATATTAACGTTTACCAGCGCAAAATGAGATGAATTCTGCATACAAGAAATATTAGTAACGTGCAGATTTGCTAATCCACTATTTGCACAGAGACAATAATAATTTCGTATATATGAGGGCTAAATTATCGTCTATTCTGTTATGCAGTGGATGCGAAGATTGAATTGTTGTTGGATTGGAGAAGGAGAGGAGAAAAATTATTACTTTTATTGTTGGAAACAATTACCCTTAAATAAGTATTGTGTGGTAAGCAAAGCAGGCACGCAGTGACGGTCAGAGGAGTGACGAGTGAGACATTAATAAATATTCCGACGGGGTTCTTGACCATTTCGACATGTTTCTCTGATGTCTGTGACGAGAGAGGAGAATTAAATCCATTCATTCATTCATTCATAAATTGGCTTCTTCTTATGGGGGTCGAGATATTCGCGAATAATGATAATGACCAATTTTTTGCACCACGCCTCCCCCACATGGAGGATCTAAATGACCAAGCCATGACACGGCAGACCACGTGTTACACATAATAATTTTGGTACCCGTACGAACTATTGGTGATTTGACACGTCCCAGAAATCAGAATGAAATATAAGTATTTGCATTTCCAGAAAAAAATCAATTTATGAACAAAATTATACTTGGGTAAAATTTGAAGCTTTTTTTGTAAAAATTTGACAAAATTGAGGACCACGTGGTCAATCTAGATGTGAAATTTTTTAGCGTCACTGGACCACTTGGAGTCCTCTTTATACTTTTTAAATGATTTAATTTTGCTAAATATTTATTTACTAAAGAGTGGTCACAAGGAATGAATAATGAATAATCGATCTTTGTGCACAGGTAGGTACGTACGTACACATGAAGTCTTGATTGATTCGTAATTACAGTGTTTCGCATGTGCGTATGACGAAACTCGATTGTGGAAATAAATTCATTACTACTCGGCCGATGAGCGAGAGCCAGTAATTATATTTCCAAGCTGCCATCATTGCAAAACCTTTCTCAATTACGCTAGTCTTTAAAGAATAATTAATTACTGATCTCAAGGGCTCGCCGCAGTCGGCGTATTCAAATCTGAATCGATACATTGGTGACCAATTTCTTGTTATCAAAATGGAAATCGAAATTGGTATTTTTAAAAATTTGAGTTGCAAATCTCAAAATTTTAATGGTATATTATGGAAGAAAATGAACTTCAAAATCACGATTTAAAAAATTGCGGAGTTGTAAATCTAATTTTTTAAATCTTATTGCAAATTTCGACTTCAAAAATTGTGGAGTATGAATCTCCAAAAAATAAAACGTCTATTATGGAAAATCTCAGTTTAAAAAGTGTAGAGTTGTAAATTTCCAAATTTGTATTTTATATTATGGAGCCCAAAATTTCCTTAAAAATATCAACGTCCGCGTAGAGAAATTCATTTCCAAAACTGAACCAGTGACCAGTTTCTCGTTACCAAAATTGAAATCGAATCCCCAATATTTAAAAATTTGTGGAGTCACAAATCTCAAAATTTTTATTATGAAACGCAAATTAGACACGGATCGTTACTAAATAAATAAAAACAAATTTATTCTTCACACGGTAAATCCCGTTAGCTTATTTTTATGTATGCGTAGTATAGATTATTTGTATTCGGGACGCGAATAATAAAGAAACGGATGGGATAATCCGCACCTGCTTTGAAAAACACGTGGGTCCACTCAAATGCGATGTGGGTGGAAAAAACGTGTCTCTCGTTTCCATGGAGACGCGGAAATGTGCTGGGTGCACGGTCCCTTTTGATTCTCACGGGCTGCGATGAGATCAAAATCCAATCCATTCCACTAATTGCATCTGTCTCTGTTGGGACTAGAATCACATGGCAAAAATCGGGCCACATAGCTGTGTTCCCATTGTTGCGTGCCATTGGCATCTCATCTTCGTCTTGGTGTGTGCGACAAAAGGGACAGGGTTCCGAAAATGTATGCATTTCTGAGCGATTTGTTATTTGAAAAGTTGATAAAGTAGGTAAATTCTGTTTTTTTAAGATAACGAATGTGGCTTTATATTTGTCGTTTATACATAATTGCTCGTAAAGGGGGGAAAAATTTGATAAAAATGTCTAAATTATGGGAAAAATAGGGAAAATGATGGTCAGTTTTTCTAAGTAGGTATGCAAATATGGATAGTTTCCAGGTTACATATAATTTTGAGGGATTCTGTTATTTACATCTTTTCTCATCTTGCCTCTTTACTTACCAATGTGTGACGATTTTGACCCCAGCGTCTCATTCGTCAAATGTGATTGACGGTTTATCCTATGTACACGGCCAACCTGTAGAAATTTGACGCAAGTTTCAGACCTGGACGCCGATGAATTTTGCGAATTTTGGTGATTTTTCTGTGGCGTCGGGTCGGCGTTAGAAATAGGAAATCAGATTTATTTCGGTGTGTATGCTTGCTATTAAAAGAAACTGATCACGTTAAATTCGGACTTCTTTTGGCGAGCACCCTGCTGCTGCTGATCTACAGTTGTCTTTTCACTGTCTTCGTCTATTTATGTATGTGCGCAGTCTGTTCAATTTATTCATGAAAGAAAACCAACCTGCGCTTTGTCTCTTGGTTGTGATTTAATTCCGGTGAATTTCCACTCTTGGGTGCGGATTTAAGTAATTTATGTAAAAGAAGAGGTAAACTTGCATCATGGCGAAATTTGTATAATTTATGCGAAATTAAGACCTATTTTTGCATGGATATTTTATCTGGGAAAAATGTTTGTATGCATTTTTAGCATGAATTTAAACCAAAGCTGAATTTAATTTATGTGAAATTGCATAAATTGCAAAATTTTCGAATTTATACGAAATAATGATCTATTTTATGAATTGTTTTTTTTGTTGTATCCATTTTATGATAAATTAAGTTAGTAATTCTTACATTTTTTATCCCTATAAACTGAAAAATCCTCCGAAATCTGTTTTGCGCACAAAATAAATCTTATCTTCATCATTTCTTATTCCATAAAAAATACATATTATTTATTATTCATTACCAATATTTAACAACAATGCCGGTGACGGTGATAAACAACAATAAAAATAGTAACAAACAATTACTAAACTAAAAAAATATTAAGTAAAACTAAATATTTTCGAAAATTATGTATGTATACAATTATTAAGCACGTGTCAAAATATTCTCTCTCTTTTTCTCCTCCAAAAAAACTACATAATTCATAAAAAATACAATGGATGCATTTTATTTTTAACGCGTAAAAAAAGTTGACTGTTTTCTTTTCTTTTGAAAAAATAAAGGTAATAAATTTCAAGAATTTCAAGACCAAGAATTTTTCATTTTCTTTCACAAAAAAATATATAATACAAAAAATTCGACACGACAGAAAAAAGAAACTATGAGGCAATTCACGCAGACTTTGGTAACATTGCAAAATCCGTAAATTTCGTAAACTTACAAAATTTTACAAATATTTCTGAGGAAAATTAGCTCCGAAATTTTTATAAACTTGCGTCTCTTAATTTTGTAAATTTATTTTACAAAACGCACCAATTTTACAAAGTTACCAATACCTCCGTGAATTGACTCCATATTGAAATAAGCTTTTCAAAAAATTAGTAAATACAAAAATATATATTTCCTAACTAAAAATTATTTTAAAAAGTGACACATCAAAAATTACTACGTATTTTATAAAACAGAACTGTGTAAAGGTCGCTTGATACAAAAAAAAATCGACTATAATTTCACTAAATATTTATGTATGACACAATATTATGCAAATCAGATTTTTGCATATTTTATATGCAAGTAAGACATTCTTCAAAAATATTTATGTATGCATGTCGTCGTCGTTGTTGTCGTCCTTCAAAAAAGTGAGTACAAAGTTGAAAGAAGAAGAGCAACAATTGATTAATAAAATAATTAAGGGAAATATTGTCACCTAATTGTTGCAAAAAAAATTTCGCAACATTGTTTATATACAGAATATCTTTATCTACAAAATTGACGCGAATAATTGGCACAATAAAATTTAAATCCTTTATTGGATTGATTGATGGAAGAAGAATTGAATGGATTTTTTTCTTTCGTCGGGCTGTGCGAATATTTCGTGGGGGTAAAAAAATTGCATTATAATAAAACTTGCATGGATGGATTTTTGCATTGCTCATTAATACGGGGATGGATACGCCCATCATAAAATAAAACAAAGTCTCGTCATCGTCAGAGTCAGGATTGGAAAAAAATAGAGAGAAATATTAATTATGAAAGTTATGCTAATAGGGAATTAATTATGTCAAGGGAATGAAGAGAGAGAGAGAGATTTGCCAATTTTTGCCAAATATTTGGCTAACTCAGGCAGAAAGTGATGCGTTTTTAAGATACTGATGATAAATATGTATGTGAATTGAATTGAGATGAAGATGACAAATTTGTAGTAATTAAGTAATTATCGAGGATAACTTAGCATTGATGAGCAATTAAAAGGTGTGAATTTTGATGGGGTATATTAGATAATTAAGTGTGGAGAGGACATTTTGAATTTTCTGGGGGTTATCGTCACCTTGATAAGCTCTGTAAGATGGTAAAGTAACATTTGCACATCTTTTCCACACGGGGCAGTAAATAATTCTGTGTAATAAAAAAAATTCACATCCAATCTTGGAATGAATGAGGCCAAATCTTGTCATGTTTTTAAAACTTGTAAATAAATTTGAGTCAAAACTAGTTCAAAGAGTGTGATGAGTTCAGAGGGCGGATATGTATTTTCGAAAAAAAGTCATAATATTTACGAAATATGTACGAAAAAGAAATAAAAATAAGCATTTTCACAAAATTTGTATTTCTGATTCAGAATTCTGAATTGAAAAAATATGTCCATATCCAAAAGTTTTGAAATAATAGCGGAAATATTCCTGTTTTTGAAAACCTAGAAATACGTTCATATAAAAATATTTTGAAATTTTAGTGATCCTTGCGAGTTAGGCGACACGCACAAAGTTTGACCATCAGTCGTCATCAATGGAAAACTTGAAAATAAATCCATAGCCGCCCTCTGCTCATAACTTATTAAATATGTAAAAGTGCTATTCTGACTTTGAAAAGACCTCATCGGATCGAAGTTTATGCGATGAATTTTCGTCGTACGTAAACATTTTAAGAAAACCGTGGTTGACGAGAAGGAGATCGACTTTCTCGAATTAATTTTGTCACCTCAAAGTCATTTCGCATTCTCACCTTTATTCCCTTCCTTCGTTCGTTCACTCAGGAGGAGAGTACGCCAACCTGATAATGACAGATCTTGATGTCCTTTGGATATATGGTAGTACCCCCTCTGAAAGCAAAAAGTGTGAAGCGGTTTGATGCCATGGCCCAATTTACGCCCGTCACACCCCTTTGAAGGCGCGCCGGATGCCAAACTAGCTGCACTAAAAAATTCGCCAAAAATCCAATTTTGTTCGGATTTTCATAATAATTATGTATTTGTGATCCCAGATAGTCCCTTTATCATATTCAGTTGCAAAATTAACTTTTCAGAAATTTTCAATATTTTCGAATATTTCCTGAAAAGGGCATGGCTTGAAAAAATTCAAAATTCCAAAAAAATTCAGATTGATATCTGATATGATAAAGCAACTATGTGGGATCATAAATATGTAACTATTATGAAAATCCGAACAAAATTGGATTTTTGGCGAATTTTTTAGTGCAGCTAGTTTGGCATCCGGCGCGCCTTCAAAGGGGTGTGACGGGCGTAAATTGGGCCATGGCATCAAACCGCTTCACACTTTTTGCTTTCAGAGGGGGTACTACCATATATCCAAAGGACATCAAGATCTGTCATTATCAGGTTGGCGTACTCTCCTCCTGAATGAATGAAAGAGACGGAAAGTGGAGGAGAGAGGAGCTTAAATCGCATTTTACTTCTTAAGCCGTGTGTCTCTCAGAGGCTGCTGCTTTATATTTTTCTATTTATGTCTTCCTACGGTTTTGTGTGTGAGTGTCTCGTCCTTTTGATGATGAAAGGCAGGCACCCTTTGCATACACGGGGGAGCAAAATGGGTCAACTCTCGAGAAGATTTTACTCTTTTTTTGTTGAGGGTCAAGTGAATTAGGAAATCCTGAATTAAATAGGAGATTGAATAGAAAATGTGAAAGTGATGAGTGCAGAATTAGCTAGACTGGAGCTCTGTGTCGAGACGAGACATCCGCATTTGTCGCGAACGAGAGGGATGTATGCAATTTGGTAAAAGTTTGTAAAGTGTGGGTACAATTATTGATTGAGGATGTCAATAGGGAGAGATTTTGGTATTTTTGTCCCCGTAAATTTTACGCCGGTTACACAATTTGTCCACAAAATTAATATTTATCGATTTTCCCTTGATTTTACAAAGTTTACGGAATTCGTGGGTCCAAATTTTGTGGACAGAGAGTAATGGAGGGTGTTGTTAAATAGCAGATTTTTAAATTCTTGTCTCCTCCAATTTACAAAGTTTAATCAGTTTTATATACAAAATTGAGCCAGTTGTAAAAAAAGTTTAGTGCAAAAACCTTGCAGATTTTTCCATTTATGTCCTAAATCTTATGTAATTTTTAAAAACAGTGTCGTGAAGAAGAAGTAAAAAAATGTCTTCTCAAACCATCTGCACGGTAGCCCAAGCATTGAACGTGACCTTTTTATGGGGTCTCTTCTTCCTCCCACCCCCACCGCCCCCACTCCCGCCTTCACTCCCAGTCCACATCCCGTTCAATTTCGGGATCAAATTCTCCCTCACATTCTTCTTAAACCGCTGACTTAACGAGGCCCACATGGAGTCGCGCCCGGCCGCGTCGCGCAGCAAAATCTTGGACGTCGTCCCCTTCGGAAGGTTCGGCACCGTCCGGCCCCCACCCCCACTTCGGGCAGGTCTCGTTTTCAGGGGAATTTTCCCCCCATTATTCTTCCCGCCATGATTCTGATCTCCCGCCAACTCCATCCAGGACGAGAATGGTACCAACAACTGGTGCTGTTGTCCCCACGCCGCGGAATAATCTGCCCCCATCCCCCCCACGCCGGGGGGATATTGTTGATGCGGCAGGAAATTGAGGGACCTCTGGTACGGCGCAAATGTCGAGGAGGACGAAGACCCGCCCCGTCCCATCACGTGATACAGGTAGGATTCTTTCGGATACTGCGTTTTCAAAGTGGTCACAGTACTCTCCGTTTTTAGCGGGACGAGGAGCACGGGTTGGTTGTTTTGGGGGGCGGGCTGGTTTTTCGCGGGGGTGTTTGAATTTGATGACGCCGCCGTTGGCGAAATTTTCCTCTGGGGTCGGGCGGGATGATGATTAGTCTCCTCGCAGTCGCCCCCATTATTTTCTGGAACCCCGAACCTGACAATATTTGGGTTCGAGATGTACACGTGGTTATGCAGCGATAAGGAATTCGACCCCGTCCTGCTTAACGGCTCGCGGAGAAGAAGGGACCCCGTGCCAGACGTGATCTGATGCCCCCCACGGAACAACATGCCCTCAAAATCTAACGATTTGGGGGGCGGAGCATCATAATTAAACAGTGGCGACGAGTGGCACGATTCTTGCAGAACTTCCGTCGGTTGTGCCAGCAGGGAGGCGAACGGGGGGCTATTTTCCTCCGGGGAAGAGGAAGAAGAAGTCATCATCATTAAAGACCCGGGACCATCTGGACCAAGTGAATTCGGCGCGGGTGGCGGGATTTTCAACCCCAAAATCGGATTAATCTTATACTTGACCGGTTTCAGTTTGACCCTGAGTTCTCGATACGTTTGGAACAGTTGTTCTGCCTCCGACCTCGTGCGAAACGTGGTGACCAGCGCGATCATCTTGTCCAAGTGGCGCACCACCCAGACGAGGGTGGAGGGATGGAGGGCGTCGCAATGGCAGAAGACGACATCCTCGATAAGGTATGACTGGAAGGAGGAGAGGTTGGGCAGCATTTCCCAGTACGGAGAGGATCTCAACGAGGGGGCGGAACAAGTGGGGGGTAAATGATCGTCCACCTTGAACTCATCGGAATCCGACCCGTTTCCGGAGGAGGAGGAATTATTGTCGTCGGAGGAGGAGAGGAGGATGTGGAGGCCGGAGGAGGAGAGGGACGTGGAGTCGAGCGAGGTGCCGCCGGGGGAGGAGGGGGCGGGGGAGGAGGAGCTGGCTTTGTCGTCGGAGGACGGGGTGGTGATAACGTCGCTGGAGGTCGTGGTGGTGGTGAGGTCGAGGTGGTTGATAAGGTTGGATAAGTCCAGTTCCACGGTGTCGGTGGAGATTCGGATGGACCGGATGGATTCAGAGTCGGACTCGAAACCTTCGTCTTTTGAGCGGCACGTAGGCGAAGTCAGTTTCAAGCCACGTTCGGAACATTCCACGGAATATCTGGAATTATAAGGAGGGTTTGGTTTTTGGTTTGGGTGAGGAGATTTATGCAAATTTAAGCGCACTTATATTTTTTTGCGAAAGTGCTAAAATTATGAAAAATTGTGTATGTTTGATTTAGATGAATGACACTAATTTTTGGATAAAAATTATATAAATTTATGGAGATAATTCGACTTGTTTTTGGCGTAAGTGTGAAAATAAAGGAAATTCATGCATAAAATTTGGCAAGCTTTGCGAATAAATGGTCGCTTAGTCTTACTTGTGATGTTCGTTGAACTTGAATTGTTTCTTATTGTTGGGCGATGACTCGGATGATGGCGTGTGATACTTTTGGATCAAGGTTTCCACCAAGTTTGCGAGGACTTCGGAGCGGATGGCCCCCTCCAGGCGGACCTTCCCCAACAGATAACCCGTGTGCTGGTGGTGGTGCGTCATCCTACTGTTCTTCCTTCCGATCACGGTAAACCCTTCTGTAAGAAATAAAAGCAAGGTTATAATTTTTGCAATTTTTTCCACTAATTTTTATGATTTTTGTATTTTTTTCTATAATTTTTATGCTTTTTATGCTTTTTTCAGCAATTTTCATGATTTTTACAATTTTTTCACTTCTTTTGATTTTTTCGCAACTTTTTTCTCTATTTTTCATGATTTTTGCAGATTTTCACTTTTTTTTTCTTTTTTTCGCAACTTTTTTCACTGGTTGCCATGATTTTTGCAGTTTTTCACTAAATTTTCATTTTTTGCAACTTTTTTCACTGGTTGCGATGATTTTTGCAGTTTTTCACTAATTTCCATGATTTGTTTTGGAATTTTTTCACTAATTTTGTCGCTTAGAGACATGCAAAAATTTCTTCATTATCCATCATTCAAAAATAGCCTCACATTTAGTTCAGAACGAAAAATTATGCAAAGTTTTGTCTGCCGAAAAAATGCGTCAATTTTCGGCTGGTCGATTTTCCTACGGGTTTTGCAGAAAGGATGGGATTGAGTTTGCCTCAAATTTACCGTGGCGTGGCATCGACTCGTAAAATTAAGTTAGCTCTACCATATCAGAAATGCTACGCGGCACGCACCCGAATTAAAAAAACGCACCAACTCGAAAGTAAGTAAGACCGCTTTTTATGTAACGGTGCATTATTTCTTTTAAAAAATACCTAAATTGGTGCTTATCCTTCCGGGGGGAAATTATTAACGTGCTAACGAAGGACTTAAAAATATCATAGCTTGTAATTTTTTAGGGTAAATTTGCAATTAATAGTTAATCGGTTATGTTTTTTCATAACGTTTTTACTACATTTTAAACAAAGTCGTGATCCGAAACGTGTAATTTTTCTGTGTAAAATTACACATGTGCGAAAAAAATTAATAGAATCTGAAAAAACAGTTTTTGGTAAAATATTGGTAGTAAGCCACTTTTGCTCGTTTTAAGTCAGGATCAGAAAATACGTATCTCCTGTAATTTTCTCATGAATGCAAAAAAACTTGAAAACAATTTTTTCCAAAAAATAAGTTTCAAAATATTTGGAATCTTTCTACTCCAAATTTTCGCATAAATTAGTACTAAGCTTTTACCAAAATCACGGAAAGTATGTCTTGCTGTTTTTTCATATAAAATTACACAGAAAAAAATGATAATGTAGTTTCCCAAAAATCAATTTTTAATGCTTAAAACTGTCTACTCCATGATTATCAAGGTCACAAATTTTCCAATAAATGTGTAGTAAATTTCCGAAAGCACGAAACACTTTCCGTGTAAAATCATATGCAAATTTCTGCCCGTAAAAATTTGCAATTAATAATTCTTATCAAGGCCACATTTTTGTAGGACCAAACCAAAGTCATCAGAGAAAGAAAGAGTGGACGTACGTGTACGTGTAAAATATGGCCGAATTGTGGCCCACTTTGAGAATAAAACCAAAACGAAAAGTAGTGCTGGGACGGAACCCTGCGGATTATTAAGAGACCCGTCATACGAATTTTCATCTCGTAGACAAAAGCACAATGCCACGCAGGAGAACACAATGGTAATAATAAAATTATAATGAAATGACCATGCAGACTAAATAACTCGCTGAAAGTGCTTGACACACAAGAGTCAATCATTTCTCAGCAGCGGCGGTTTCCTTCCCCACCAAAAAGACCGGACCGGACATCATGTCACGGCATGAAAAATAAAACGGACTACAGAACTAAATTGCATTTTGGGAATGGTGTGTTGTGTATGAATTTTTTCCATTTAAAGAGCCCGTGAGTAAATTTTTGGTGTAAATTTTGAGCCATACAAAACTGACAATGGAGGTCGCGCAACGTATACTCTCGGTTTTTGGGCAGATTAGTGTCAATCGATCAGAAATTTGATTAGTATGAAACTGGGAAAGACACGATCTCTAAAAACGCAGGTTTGTCAGAGATATTTGCATCTGAAGAGGAGAAAACGCGAGTAATTTTGTAAGGTGTAAGCAGATTTTGGGGTACTTTTAGCCCTCTTCAGATGCAAATATCTTCGACAAATGTACGCATTTTCAAATTTGATACTAGTTAAATTTGTGATACATTGACACTAATTTGGTCAAAATCGTAGGGCATATGATGGGAAACCTCCATTGCCAGTAAATAGACAACACAAAATTTTGGAAAATATTGTGTGAATCTTTTCTCTTTATAAAGTGTGTTAACTTTTTATATTAAATTGTGACCCAAAGATGACATAAAACTTACTAAATTTTGCACAAATTTTGTAAATATTTAATATGACTTTTTCCCATAAAAGATCCATACATAAGAATTGTAGCAAATGACTTTAGCAAATTTTAACATATTTTTTTCTGCACATTTCTGTTCTCACAAGATTGTTAGATTAGAACACAGTTTTATAAAATATTACTAAAAACACCAAAAATACTGGACGTCAAGACATCAAAATCTAGCCAAATATTTCGTATGATTTTCCCCTTTCTGTATTTTTTAAGTCAATTTTTGCCCCATTTTCTTCCCAAGACAACGACACACTTTTCACCCGATTTTTGGATTGGAACGCAATAGTTATAAAATAATTTAAAAATATGTGTACCAAAATCATGTCATGTAACGCAACGCGACTGCATAACACGGTCACGCCGCTGACAATGCAATCTTTTGTCACTCATCGTCGTCACTTGAGTGAAATAATGTCTTCTTAACACATTTCTTTCTTTCATCGTCACTCGTCACATGGCAAAGAAGCAAAAAAATTCTTCTTTTTTTACGTCAAAATTGTTATTGTTGTAGATAAAATGGTACCGGCGGATGGGACGGTTGATGAGATTTGCACATTTTTTGCATCTATGCGGCAAGTGCGGCGGAATGGTGATGATAACAACAATTGAGTAACAGAAATAATGCTTTTTCTGCAAAGTGTGAAGATGAAGATGATACAACATTACATTTCAGTTTTCGACGTAATGAGACTGACTGTCGCGGAGGTGGTGCGAAAAGGATGGGATGAGTTTTTGGGGGATTTTTATTCGAATTTTTTGGCGATAACGTGCATTTCCTTCCCCCCGCAGGTAACAATCAGATAATGCAACGTAACGTAAGGGATGTAGGTGAGGTAAGTCATTTGAAAGATCAGTGTTGCATTGGGTAGATCGTGGCGTGTGGAAAAACAGGGTTACGCAGGCTACGTTAAAATCAAATTTGTGAAGGTGTTTTCGACAGTTTTTATCATCAATTATTGATCCGTAGGTGGGAAACGTGGGAAAAATTGTACTCTTTTACAATAATTTAAATTGATGAGAAACGAGAAAAATGGAAAAATTCGGGGTTTCCAATTTTTACCACTCAAAATGCCTTCTTTTATCGCCACGAGTTGAATGAGTTGTTCTTATCACCGTAGGTTTTCCACTTTTCTCAAAACCTTTTCCTAGCCGTTCTAGGAAAAATGTTTCGGAAAACGAAACCCTGGCCGTAACTTGAATAAGGATTTTCTTCAGTGAGAGAGGAGTTAGGTGAAGAAGACGTAACGAGCAGTGGTTGTAATTTAATTATAATAATAATGATGCCTGAAAAAGGTGCCTGAGAAGAATATTTAGTGGCGTCGGATTGGATTACTTTTCCGATTGTGTACAGTTACTCAGGGAGTCATGAACAGAGGGCGGATATCCATTTACGAAAAATTCCTCAAATATCTATTTAATATGTGCAGAAGAAAAAAAATATTTGCGAAATATGTACGAAAAAACAAAATAAGAATTTTCGCAAAATTTGGATTTTTGAACATTATACTCTGGAGTTTTTAGGTTCAACTTCTTTGAGGAAAAAGATTTATTCTCATATTGTTTTTAAATATTTACGAAATATATGTGCTTATTTTTGATAAAATGTGTAAAAGATTTACGTATTTTTGAAATAATAGGGGGAATAATTGCATGTCTGAAAACCTAGAAATATGTTATAATATCTAAAATATTTTGACATTTTTATCATCTACAAGAGTTAAGAAACACACGTATAACGTTTGACCATCGGTCGAGTCATCCATGAAAAAGTTGAAAATGAATACATATCCGCCGTCTGTTGTCATGAGATTTCATAATTTTGGCTTTTCTTTGAGACACGGGATGATTTTAGTTTTTATGTGGGAGTGAAATTTCATTGTTCTCCCAATGGTAAAAAGTTTCTGTTGGGTGAGTTTTATGGTGTCAGACAATGAAGAAATTTAAAAACTGGGGATAATTTCTCGATTTAATTAATAAAGTGTGAGGTGAAAGATTGCGTGAGTCAAGGTCTTAATGGATATTTTTTTGTAATTTGGTTTAGTGAAAATTAAGGGAAAATTAAAAAGTGTATTGGAAAATTTGGAAAATTAGGCAAAAAATGCTTTATTAACAATGGACTGGAAATATAAATACGTCAAAAAAGTGATCGAATTTTCCCATGCGACACAAATTTATAAAGAAAATGAGATACCATAAAAGATGTGCTTTGTCGAGATTTTTGTAAAATTGTGAAAAGTCTCGCCTTAAATATTTCTACGAGATCTTTATCGCCCTTAAAATTTAGTAGATTTTTAAAAACTGGATAAATTTATGAAAAATCTTGACGTGAATATTTCGTTCTCACGTAAAATGCATGCCGTAATTTTTTAAAAGTCAAATTCATCCTGATATTTGTAAACCCAGTAAAATGTGTAAATTTGGTCAAAAACGAGACTTTACACAACTACAAATTTACGACGCTCATTAAAACTCTGTTTAAATCATGAAGCAACTTTTCCTTCATACTTTTTTTCAAAAATGTATGATTTTATTAAATTACAGACATTTGAATGAATTTTCCAACAATTAATAAAATTCTTATATTTTAAACCAAGCAAGTTTTGTAAAGAAAAAATATTTTACAAAACTTTTACATATTTCGGAGCAGCGGCGAAAATCTGTATCAATTTTGCTTCGTAATGTTTCGAAACTTCTCAACACACTGAGGCAATTCA